AGAGAGAGAGAGAGAGAGAGAGAGAGAGAGAGAGAGAGAGAGAGAGAGAGAGAGAGAGATGGCTCTGTATGCGGGGATCAGGTGGGCCTGAGTTCAGTCTTCATTGTGCTTTGTCTGCAGCCTTAGTTGAATTCATGCACTTCTACCAATATCTTTGCTTAGTTCAAGCCACATGTATCATCAATGTCCATGGGATGTAGGGAAAGATTTCCACCTTTTCGTGCTGAGATCAGACTGGCCTTGGTTTCGTCTATGCTGCAGTGCTTTTGAAAGATGAACTGGTTCTGCAAGGAGGGGAGGGGGGGAAAGTTGTAAGCTTCGCCATCCTTGGAACCATGATTTTAAGCGGTTTTCCCCAAGGCCTCTCCTTTCTGTTCCTATCTGTTCCTTGGGCTTTTGTAATTCCTTTTCAATCCACTTGTTTCTTCATTTCCATTGCGGATAACAGTCTGGGTTATTAACATTCCATTTGGCCTGTTTCAAGGTCTTGCGTTGCGGGCAAAATGGCGCTGAAGCAGCTTTTCCAGATGGTGAAACATTGTCAGACAACTTGAAGGGGTAAAGGTGGATGACAACCAGATGTTTGAGAGGGAAAACGGGGTAGTGAAGCTGGGTTAGGAGGCCGCATCGAAGGGTGTGAATGATAACGCTGAGCATGAGGCAGAGGGGGAAGGAGGACGAAAGAAGTGAGAACATAGAGGGCAATGAAGGGGAGGTGGGGGAGGATGATGGTAATGAAATCATGGAGGGGAATGATGACACCAGTCATGAGGATGTGATGGAGGAAAGCAACAATCCCAAGAATGAGAGGCAAGGAGAGAGGAGGAGAGGGTGAATGAAGATGGTGAAGAGGCAAAGAAAGAGAATGGCAAGAAGCCTCTCTACTTCTTGCAGGAGGGGGTCAAGAAGGGGAAGACCAGGAGGCTGGAAAAAAAGGAAATGTGGGAAAGAAGAGGGCGACGACAGGGATGGCACGGGGAATGGCAAGGAGAAAAGGACGAGGAGGAGGAGAAAATTGGGGTAGAATCTGTGCCTCCGTGAATGTGTTCCGAACATGAAATGCCAATCCATTTGACTCTTGCCATTCTTTGATGCTGATGCCTTCAAACTCCTGAGAGTTCCGTATCGGTGTTGAATTTGTGTTCTATTTTTGTAATGCAGTTTTTTGACACGGAAAGGCAACGTTTGGCAAACCTGAGGGATCGAGCAAGTGACCAAGGACAGAAGAAATTATATCCTTAAACTAACTAATTGTCTCTCTTCTTTGTGGTTAAAAAAAAGTAGGTTAGAAGTTTAGCTATAGGTTAGCAATGGCTGACTTGCTGGTTGTTCATGGTGAAAGCTGTCAAGGAAGTTGAAAGTTGTGCCAGCAAAACTGTGGACGGGCTTTCTTGGGATGGGGACATGCAACTACTCAAGTTGAATAGGGAGCCAGCTAAAACATGGAATCACCACTCGTATGTGGTTGTCCATTCCTGATTGGTGACCAGGCTGACCAGGGGTGGCGCAGGTTTGGTGTCATGTAGGGACCAGGACTGGTGCAGAGAGGTCGTGCGAGGGAAGGAGAGACCGAACTCTCACAGACAAACTGGACACAACACTGACAACAGGATAAAGACACCTGAGAGTGAGAGACAGGGAAATCGAAAAACAGAGAAAACTGATCTGGTTTACACTAAGCAGAGTAAGATTCCAGTATGTCGTCCTCGGAAGAAACGCCTCGTATACTGTCATATCATCACTTCTGAGGATTGACAGAGGCACCAACGAAGAAAGTGCTGGCAAGCCTCTGCCGCATTGATTTTGACAAAATGAATGAACAGTGCTGTCGACTGTCGGTATAAATACGGTGGTTGACTGGAGTTCGGAAGTTTGAAAAGCTACTCCGGTGCCAAACTGGCCGAAAAGAATTCCCCTGCCAACCAAGCCCGAGTATGCGGAGCCTTTATGGCGTTTAGTTAGGTGTCTATTTTTATTTGATTTAATAACTATTGCAAGGAATATGAGCGAGAGCGATAGAACAGAAATTCAAGTTCCAAAATCACGAAGTTGCTCAGATAGTCATGAACCAAGCAGAGAGTGCAATGCACCAAGGTACCGTCCAAATAAGAGCATTACAATGCAACTCCAATGTCAATGTCGACACTCTCTGGTTACACCAACACTGTATCCAGTGGCCCACTTACTGTCTGGCGGCCAGCTCCCAGCCTATCCTACTTAGCCTATCTAGCCTATCTACGTTCTCACAACTGGATCACTCTGAAGTCGAAGACCAATATACGCCTATCCAGCATACACCAGCTACGTTCTATCTCCTCTCGTCATCACCCCTTGTCTCCCCACAGCATGCGCCTCCTACCCGAAGACCACCTTCGCCATCACCTGCCTTGCGCCCCTGCAGCCTGGCTATAGGTGCTGTGCGCCCACTGCCTTGCAGCGCCCCTCACCTCACCACGCGTGCTCGCGTCCGACCAGCAGCGCCCATGCAGACACTTGTGTTGCAACACAGCAGTGTGTCCGCATTGCCTGCCTAGGCCAGAATGCCCCTGCTTGGGCTGGCCTCTTTCCTTTATGGAAAGTGCAGCCCCTGTCTGTGTCTGCCTGGGCCTGGCTGGGGAAGTTTCCAGTAGCTTCCAATCGGGCCCCAGTCTCTGCACCCAGGCCGACCTCTACAGTTAAGGGCCTGGGCCCTTTTTGGTTGGGCACGTATAGATAGCCTCCCAGGCTCCAAGGGTTGGCCACATTCTCATTGGCTCACGGAGATTGTGTGATGACAATGATGCTTTCTCATTCGTCAGTGGCTGCTGCGTGATGTGTCGGCCTCACGCTGCGTGTGCGCTCAACAGTACAGCGCAGTCCTTGTTTTCTGGAAAGAGCCTGGAGGCTCACTTTTCCCTGCAACCAACTGGCGTGCTGCAACTGTCTGTGTACCCACATATGGAAAAATGTCCAAACTAGGCCTCTCGTGGATATTCAGGTCTGCCTTCACTTAGGGCGGGCACAAGGCTTGCTGGGGCCCACAGCCGAGAACACTTGCATCTCTGTTAGGGCCCCGTGAGGGCTCAATCCGCGCACTATGAAGTTTTGTGTCCACGGAGTCCACGCGAAATTTACAGGCTTAGTGCCATTTGATGAGCCAACCGAAAGTAAAGCAGAAGCATATAAGAAGGTAGTTGGACTGTTGAACCGAAAGTATCTGGTAATTTGAAAATTGAAAGAGAATTTTGGCGCTGAAGCAGCCAAAGGGAAAATTAGAAAATGCGAAGGGCCTGGGGCCTGGAATGTGTTTTGGCGGCGAAGCAGCCCGGATGATGGCCGCCAAAAGATGTGCTCGTATGCATCTGGTCCAGGGTTACAGGCCCGTCCATCTAGTCCTGGGACACGTTACAACGTAGCTGACTGTTGAAATTGAGAAAGAAATGCACGATGGCTTGGATTGTCTTTACGATTGCAGATGGACAGGGCGGCACTTCCACAGGCACCAGACTCAGGGCGTGGTGGAATGCAGAAGGCCCTGGATTGTCCTTACATTTGCACATCAACGGGTGGGAACTACATGCACCAGACTCAGGGGGTTGTTTTGGGGTTCCTGAGGATGATGGGAAACCCTCCAGACAGGGGGTGAAGGCCAGGGCATGAGGGCCAATTGTTGAATGCTGGCCATAGAGGCACGGTGTTGTGGTAAACCGGGCAGTGTGAAATTGTGGGGGAAGCTTCTGCGCTTGGCAAATCAGGCGAGGTGGGGTTGGAGGGTGGGTGTGGCATACTGCGTAGCCACACGGGCCCTGTAGGGCCCGTCCCGCACCTTCAGCCTAAAAGCCTAGAAAATAGGGCTTACAGGCCCCGGTCGTTTCAGCCTGAAACTGAAAAACGAGGGCCTGCAGGCCCTATTCCGTTTTCAGCCTATTTCTTTCAGGCCCAGAGGCTTTTCAGCCTGAAACGGAGGGCCATTTTCAGGCCCTCATTGTGTTCGACCTACCCTAAGACTCAGGCACAAAAACAGGGTTTCGGGAACAGGCTATTTCTGGCCTGTTCCCCACGACAGCTCAAGCAGGAGCTGCAGCGGCAGCCCCTGCCTCCCTTCGGCATTGGCAAGAGCAGCCTCCTGGACTACCTCGCCTGCAGTCAGGAGGCACCCGAGTAGTACATAGGAGGTTCCCATGCACTTCACGGGTAGGTAGTTGGACAGTAGGACGAGTAGTCTTCAGGATTCAGCCTCAACACTAGCAGTAGTAGTTAGCGCTAGCAGTAGTCTTCAACACTGGGCGCTCATAGCTGTAGTAGTAGTCTTCAGCGCAGAGCGCTAGTAGCTGGTAGTGGTAGCGTTGGAGAGAGATGGCTGGCGGAGGCCAACGGTACTTACCTGTGGCGCCATAGCTCCAGCTCCATCTTCGAGGTACCTGCATCAAGGCGCCAACTTCACAGGTTAGTACTGGACACAGAGAGAGAGAGAGAGTTGTGACTTGAGACTTGACGACATTGGATCCAGACTCGACATTTGGGATTCAGACATTTTGACGAGGGACTATTTGGGCCTGTGCCGAAGACTTGGTGTTGACGACATTCCCATCTTCCCCTCCTCTTCGTCTAACCCCCTTCGTTTTCGTCTGTGTATGGTTGGGGCTGGTGCAGTCTTCCTGTGTGAAGCGCCAGACCCCTTTCACACCACGGAACGATGATGATGATGTATGTTCAGGGCTGCATTGCAATATTGATTGTTCGGATCATTGGTATCTAAGTCTTCCGCTACGCTATCTTGTACTTTGTATTTTGAGGTCGGTTCTTGTTCTGGTCTGCACCGTTTCAGTATGCAACAGTTTGGTATCGGAGCGGACCTCTCATTCAGAGGACCCGCTCAATCAAGTAGCCAGCTTGCTTGATCTATTGATTACTCATCAGTAAATCAAGAAGGACTTCGTCAAATCTCTGAAAAAAAAAATTTTCGCAACAACTATCCGAAAATTTCTGATATTCGCATTTCGTTTTACCTGAAAATTTCTGATATTGGTATTTCGTTTTCACGTAACAAATATCTGAAAATTTCTGATAAATCGCATTTCGTTTTGTCTGAAAATTCCTGATAGTAGCATTTCGTTTCTCTGATATTTTGCATACATAGCTGAAATTTTCTGATGTTTGTATTTCGTTTTCTAGGCATATTGGGATAACGATAGAAGTGGTCATATTCTCGGAAACTGGAATTATTCTTTTCTGAAAATCGAATTTCCATTCTATCTCGCAAATTTTTTTTGAAAACTGAAATCTTGCGAAGCCTACCAATATTTCGATAGGCATATTCGGAGGTCGCCATATTCTCAGAAACGGGATTGTCCTTTTCTGAACATCGCATCTCTATTCTATCTCGCAAATTTTTTTTTCAAAGATCGCAGTTTGTGAAAGCCGAAACTTTGCGGAACCTAGCCTAGATCTCGTTCATAGTACTC